TATATATATATATATTCCATGCTGTATTTATATATATATATATATATATATATAACTAGTGCATTTATACTTGTAGTGAAGAGAGAAATAAATTATCGTTACGGTGTTAAACGCGGAAAGTCGATGAAGCAAAGAACACAATAGGTCTAGTATTAGTAATATATTACACATTAAATTGCCCTTTTTTTATCATCATACCAAGTCCAAATGACCAATTCTGGTACTGAATGAAAGACCCCTGTGTAGCGTGTTATTTTTACACGCCTGTAACTTGAAATTCATAATGGACTAATTCCAAGAAATGTAGGCAAAACTGCTGTCTAATGTGAATTTTTTTCACATAAATTGCCAAAATCCTAATTAAAGAAATATGTAATTATGGGATGCCAGAACATTAAACTGGATCTAAATGTTACATATATATCCTTATACAATTTAATGCTTTTCAAAAACCCTTCATCTTATCACAGTATGTATATTTCCTCTTGTTAATATGACATATGGGGGTCACATTAATAATTATGCATTTTAGAAAATTCTAATACATTATTACATCTAATAAAGAGAGAACATAAATACTACAGCTATTTACATAATACCAAAAATTTCACTTTCACATTTAATTATTTTCAATACATAATTAATTATTAATGGGTCCATAGATACCATATCAGTTTTTTAAAAACATTTTTCTAAACTACCCAGTTAAGCACCAAATTTTCTGACAGGATCCCTAATAAGACAGAAGTCACGGAAAAAAATTAAAAATCCTATCAATTTAAAATTAATCCTACTAATACTTGCCAGGGTTCTGTATCTACTGTAAATTGTTAATGAGTGATTCCACACTATGTTTTTCATTGGTTCTTTACACTAAGTGTTGTAACATCAAAAAAATACTCAAAATAGTGCAATATGCATAGTCCACAGATAGTGGAAGGTATACAAAAATAATGAATATTAAGATTAACCACAATACTACTGTATATCTTGTTTATATTTACCCATTTATCAAACGTAGTTTCTCAGCTATCAAAATAAACATTTCATTTTCTAGCATTTGAAGTTAAGAGCTGTGCTATCCATGTACAATAACTAAAAATTTATTTTATAATCATATGTGGTATATGGTGAAAAAGCTCTTTTCAAGTCTTACAAGTTAAAACCAGGAAAATTACAGTAACTACTTACTGTTTAACAAGAGATTCCACTCAGTTTCAAACAAGGGTTAATTTTAAAATTTGTGAGGCTAATAAGTATTTTTTCATTTACATGAAGCTAATTTTCTATAGAACTTGTATTTGTTTTGCTATATTCTTGACACTAATTACTATTTTGATATTGCATCACAGTTCCACTAAAACTGCCCTCTATCAGCTGTGCTTCTCTGAGCTTCTGGATTATCATTAATTTTTGTTTTAATAAACAAACAAAATCATTAAACCCTCAATTCTACACATTAAAAGTCCTAATGTATATCTATAAATGGTCTGAAATATGGATGTTCATACCTGTTAACAAACTCTTATTTCTTCTCCCACTTTCTCTGTCTAGTATATGCAACTCTCAAACTTCTTTCTGCCTTCATGTGTCCAATGAATCTTAGTAAACAGATAAAAAATGAAAATAAACCATTTAAAATATTTTTTATGCTGACATACTTCTGTTTTCTTTCCTACAATTAAAACTACCAATGCTTTGTAGTAGCAAATGACGTAAATATATATATATGTTTATGTATACATATAAAATGATAAACACACCTTATTAGTAATTATTTTTACAAAAATATTAATATTTTGTATGAGAGACAAGTTTCTATCACCATTACAATTATATACCTTTATTTTTACTTGCAAAATGTGTGTTTCATATATAACACATGTACATACACTACTATCAGTTGTGTCCAGTACTCATCATTATACACATGAAGCTTACCTTCAGGCAGAAATGTTTTTCTGCAAACATGACTTGTTTTCATTAAAGAGATAAGACATTATAGTTGTGACACACATATTAGCAGCATAGATATACATGTATAAATATATCTTAATTTGTAGATTTTTTATTTGTTCTTCATTCATATTAAGAACCAAAATGTCAACCTCCAGTTTTTCAGAAAATATGTGTTTAAATGTACTTGCTTAGTAAGGGAATAAAAAGATCACATAATACGAAAAAAAGATAAGCAAAAGATTTATACACATAAATATTATGAAAAATAATTTACGTGTTAGCCATTTGTTTTCACTCGTAAGTTCTTAGAATTTACTACAGTTAAATATTAAACATATGGCTGAGTGTTTGGCCCATGGTAAAAAACTAACAGAATTTAAGGATTTATTAATAATAATAAAAGTGTAAAGAGAAAGTTATTGTAACCTCAGAAATAAATCTGCAGGACTTTCATACTTCACAATTAGAGTATTGTGTTAACTATTGGTTACCTAATCAGAGGAAGGATATCAACAAATGTAAATAATTCAGAGAAGAACTACTGGACAAATCTATGGCTTGAAAGATCTCAGCTGTGAAGAAAAGCTTTAAGACTAATGGACTTGTTCAACCTAGTGTATGAGAAACTAGAAGTAACTTGATTGAAGTGTTGAAATTTGTTAGATACTTGAATAGGTTACCTTATGGGAAATCTGTTTGAGTGGTGTAATGAGAACACTGAAAACAGAAGGCTTTAGAAGCTTGGGTATTATGGAATAATAATTACAAGCTTTTGAATCCCAGAATTCTTCTATGGTAAAATTACTCTGTGCAAAAATGTAGTGCTTGCCTCGAGTTTAAATTTGTTTAAACTTTTGCTGAAGAAAAGTATATATATGCAAAGAGCTACACTTATTTAGGGTAAATTATTTAGTGAAGGAATGACCTTCATGGATCAACTAACCTTCTATCACTTTGATCACACAAAATATCTGCATTACGCAGATAAAATGTAATAAAGGATAAATTAGCACATTTGCCCAAAATGGCACATAAAACATAGTCAAGGCACATCTAAATAAAAACTTGATTATGATTTATTTCCTGCAACATCTTGTGCAGATGCGTGTTAATTTATCCTTTATTCCTTTTTATCTGAACTGTTCTTAATCGCATCTTGCTGAACAACATTCTCTTATGCATCATGCTTATCAGTGTTTAGTTAGTTGCCACATAAATTCAAAAAAATGTATTTAACCATACTACAAATTCTCTATGACATTATATTTCATTGTTTGGTTAAACATACTTGCATGTTATGAAATATCAACAAGGTAATATGTAACATGAACATGACAGTTCTTCTCAAAATTAATTCATTAACTTAAAGCAAGTTTTCTTACTTAAAATTAGATGTATCACACAACAACAGAAATGACTAAAAATACTGTGTATATAATAAGGTTAAATTTTTATTGTTACACATCTGTAAAAGTTTTCCTTTAGTGTGTTTAGTTTCCGTAATGTTTCACTAATAACAAACTGCCATTAAATTAGTTACTGATTAATATGTGTTTTTATGTCACAGTGTCAGATACGGCTTTTTGTTTTATTTTGTAAAGTAACAATTGTAATTATTTTTCCCATGCTTTTAACTATTATTGTTCATTAAATTATGTAGCGAAACCACTACTATGGAAACCTCTCTTTTCTTTATAATATTACAAATATTAAATTTTCATCTGCAACAAATGGTACATTATTTTGCTTATTAGTATCTCAATAATCATAAACAGCATTTCCCTGAAACCATTTTTGTTAATCTGGGAAAGTTCAGAAGTGTTGTATATTTTATATCTTTGTCTTCACTGCCACTCCTACATATTGCAGAAAATGTACCTATTAGTACCTAAAATGAGGAATTTGAGTATTAGACTTATCTAAAATGAGGTTTTCATTAAAAATAAATCATACGCAGTACAAGTACAACATATACATTTTGAGAAATGTGAATGCTTATGTAAAACAAAGTTATTTCACCTAATACTATAGCTAACAACTAACATTTTGAAATATTTATACCTACTACTTATAAATTATACTACAAATAGGCCTTAACCCTATGTGTATCAGTTGGAGTGAACTTGCACCCCACAACACTTCAAATCCATATTATTAAGCACAGATTGAACCAGAGCAGCTGTGACACACAGTGCCATCCTCATTATTATAACCCTTTGTGGATACAAATGTATATCACTTCAACCTTACGTGTTTTGATTCCTATTTGTTCTTACTTATACCACATGGGATGCAAATGAGCCCCATCTTGTTTTAGATCTTATGACATAACCTTTTCCTTAAAACCTACAGGAAATTTATAGAATTCCATCCTGTGAATGTTCTGGAAATTTTGTGAACATTCTAGAAGTAGCTTGAGATACTATATATACCAAAGAGCAAACTCAGTTATCATTGCTTACTATGTAGTCAAACAGAGACTACTAATGCTGATTCTACTCATCTTGCTCCTAGGTTGAAAGTCATGATACAAGTATGTCTCTTAGAGCCATTATCCATGGGTTGAATGAAAAAGATATAGCTAACTAGGATAAAAGTAGTGAATCAGAAAGCTAAAATAATGTTCATTAAGTTGAAGAACAGTCAGAGGAAGAAAGTGACACTTCAGTTGACCCAGAATCAGAAGAATCACCACCACAGAGGTAGCAGTAAAGAGATGGTCAAGCTGCTGGCAATACAGCTTTGAGTCCACACATTCTGTAATAAAATGTTGTAAAAGAAATTGTATTTTCAAGCAACAAAAACTTCTTTGCTGTAAATTGCCTAAATATATAGTCATATCAACACGATACTAGTGCTTTTAGGCTGAGGGTTCAAACCCACTCCAGGTAATATAAAAAGGATGGAAAGTGATATGTTATGCAGAGATAATAAGTAGTTACAGACTAGGAAAACACCAGTATTTAACAGACTGACTTATTATTAATGTGATTGCACTCAAAAGCTTAGTTGAAATACCCTTTATAATAACAGTTAAATTTGATTTATTAACTTACAAGATGCAAAACACTAAAGTTCACTTTAGGTGCTACAATCAGTTTGATAGATGAAAAGATCTAGCATTAATCAGTTAAAGGCCTTGTTAGCGTGTAACTAATAATTGTACTTGAAAGTTACAAATTCACTTTTGCTTTTTGTTTCTTTTACAGGAAACTCATATTGGACAAAAATTACAAGGTAGAAATTTATAGTTAAAATCAGTTAATATTTACATTTCCACTAAATATCCCACCAAAAAGATTGTTTTAAACCCATGAATCCAATACATTTAATTCTTAATTCCGAAGTATAGCAATTTTCACATTGGAAAAAATATGTTTGCTTAAAATAATAGTGTATATAAGAACATCTATCAAATGGCATTCATTTCATTATCAGGATTTTAATATTGTTAAGAACAATTAGGTATATAAATTTTTTTGCCCAAGTTCTCCTATTGCTGACAGATTCAGAATTTGGTCAAAAGGGGCACTCAAAAAATATTTTGGCCACTATGTGGCATTTTAATATTATTATTCAATAAATATATTATTTTTCTATTCAATCAACTACAATATTCACCAATGAATAACAAAAATTACTATTAATGTTATGATAAGTACATTAAATATAAAACTGCTTTACTTCAACTTTATTATAAGTGTGGGAAGTATCTTCTTAGAAGACCATTTAGGATGAAAAAGGTCAAATGTGAAGTGCCAAACTAATTTCCTAGTCCTCGTGCTAACATTTCGTATCAAAAGTGTTGTTTATTTTATATGTTTGTTAAGCATTACGGAATTGAGATAATGGGTTAAAAAGGTGATGTGGGACATATTTCGGAAAATTTCAAAATAAATTATTTTTACTTCAAGATAGGCATGTTCCTAAAAAGAGGAAAAGGATAACAGAAAAAATCAAACTCAATTGGTTTACTAAACATGAAAGATAAATGAGGAATGATAACCATACATTTAAGAAATTTAAACTGACAGATAGGATGGAAAATTTACAGAACTATGGGAAAGAAAGTAATTTTCATTAAAAGAATTTCAAATCAAGAACAGTTAATAATGTTAAAATTATAAGGATTTTTTTAAAGTACAGTACACAAGAAAGCAAAATGTTTAAAAATGAGGAAAGGCCCTTGAAGGATGTTCATGATAAGGTTTCTTTTTAAGCCTATAAGATGGATGAATTTTTAAATGTCTCTCCACATTTACTTTTATACTCAAGAGAAGATATGGTCAGTATTCATGATCTATTACAAATACTGAAAATAGCCTGAATCATGTAGACATTAATCTCTTATTGGTTAAGTACAAATACTTAAAAATTGATAAAGCACTTCTGTGGAATATGATACCATATAAGAAAGCTAACATGGAATAAACTTAATTTCCTTGTATTCTCTTATCTTTTTCAAGAATGTTACTCATTATCTGGGTGATGGAAAAGGTATGGACTTTGCATACTTAGCTTTTTATAAAACTTTTGATTAGGTAATACACAGAAGATTAGCTTAGAAAATCACAAAGGTAAGTGTTGGAGAAAAACTACTTAATAAGATTATAATGCATTTTGATAAGAGAAAGCATAAAGT